AATTTTCGTTTTTAGCTTCTGCCACTATAAGAACTCTGCAGGTAAAGCATATTTAAACAGTAATTAGGTAATACTACTATTTTTTTCCTTAATTTATTTTAAGCATGTATAAAATAAACTACAAATACACCGAAATCAAATATATAATATTTTAATTTCATGATTAACTTATATGTTATTTTCAGTTGTATTTTCTTTTCTATGTAGTACTAAGTTAAAGTAGTTACATTTTTATTAAAATATTTATAGATCTAAGGTCAGTTAATTTTGGTCTTTGAATTTAAATTTAGATTCACTATTTTAATGATTTATCTAATCAAGGTCGTTGTTTTTGTTTTCACATTTTTAATAGCATGCTTCTAGCAACATCAATATGTTTCACTAACTTTTTTATTATTTGCATGGGTTGACTTATCGTTTTACTAGCTTACCACTATTATTGAGAGAAACTACTAGTCAACTTACCTCAAGCCGTTGCATGGAAATTTTATTTGTTTATTTTTAAAGCAAATAATCTAGTTATCATGTGTTAAACAATTGCATGGAGACAAAGCAGTGAAATATTAAATTAAATTATTTGTTACCTCAGTCCAATCTTTATAATAGCATGTTTTTTTTTTGCATGTAAAATTAGTTGAATTATTATCCATTATTTAATTGAGATGCAAGGGCTGCTAGTAAGGTCCATTAGTTATTTAATTTATTACACCAAAATACTAGGCTATTATTTTAATTTAATCCATTCCATAAGAATTTTATTAATTTATTTCCAAAAGACATTTATGTATTTTAATGTATTGAGGTAAAACAAGGAATTATAGTAAACATTTCGTGTATTAACTCTTATAATATCTCATTCTAGTAATTTTAAATAGTTTGATTTGTAAGGTTTGAATAAGAATTGCATCATTTAATTTCATTTATGTAAATATTTAATTTATAAGTTATTAGGATAGGCACGGGCAGGAGGGCCTATGCGGGACGATGATTGGCAACACAGATGAAAATACACCTTTTGAATACGATTCTTGCTTGGAGCTGGATAATGTTTTTGAAAGCGAAAGATTTTTCAATGAAACCCCAATAAATAGTAGTCTTAAAATATTTCACACAAACATAAGAAGTTTCTCAAAAAATTTTGACGATTTATCAGTGTATTTACAGTCTTTGAATGCTAATCTAGATATCATCGTCTTATCAGAGTGTTGGTTGAGCGGGGGGGAGGTGGGTCACTTGGACGGGTTTGACTGTACAATGACAGATACACAAAACAACAAAAATGACGGAGTCATTGTTTTCATCAACAAAAGTCTGTCTGCTACAGTAACTCAAGTTAACATCAACAGAGTTTTTGGTATTTCTTTGGAATTCAGTCTTTTTAATAAAATATTCAATCTGTTAGCTGTTTACAGGACGTTTGATAGTGAAATTGATCATTTTATAAATGGTTTGGAATGCTATTATAATCGCATAAGTAAAGATACTAACTGTATCTTTTTGGGTGATATAAACATCGACTTACACAAAACTGATGCAATAACGGATCTTTACTTAAACACTTTACTAGGTGCTGGACTAGTCCAGTGCATCGACAAGCCGACCAGAGTGACACACAACACTTCTACTTGTATTGACCACATTTTTGTCCGTTTTCATGATATGAGACGAGTCAAATCTGCTGTCATACAATCTCACATCACTGACCATTACAGCACTGCTCTTAAAATCACTAACACCATTCAGTCGCCTACAGGAACTGGAACTGACACTCTGCCACAGAACCAATTTCGCACCTACATTGATCACGCTTCACTAACTGAACATATTACAAAAACAGACTGGAGTCCTATCATGAGTAATCACGAGGTTAATCAGTGCACAGCATGTTTTTGTTCGACATTGAGTAACTGTATCGAAGCCTCAACAAAAACAATTAAAAATCACTCAACAAGATTTAAAAAAATAAAGCCTTGGATTACCGTAGACCTCATTAAATTAATTCGAAAACGAGACAAGTTAAGTAAAAAGATCAAAACCCAACCTTTTAATATATTACTTCTAGATAGATTCAGGGCCCTGCGCCTATCTTTAAATCAAAACATCAAACTCGCAAAGAAAAATTATTATAGGGGTATAATTTCAGAATCTAACAGGGATCCAAAATTATTTTGGGGCATAGTTAGTGAAATATCGGGCAGGAATTGCTCTAAGGACCATTTTCCATTTGAAAAAGTTTTACCTGGTTCTTCGAATAATGCGAACATGAAGACTAAAATAGCTAATGATTTTAATAAGTTCTTTACATCAGTGGGTTCTAAATTGGCCAACTCAATCAATTCAGCTGGGGCTCCAGTCGTAAACGACGCTGACTTCTCACTCGACACGAATTTCACATTCAACACGGTCACACACGCTGACATAGAACGTTACGTCCAGGGTCTGCGCGGAGGGTCTGCACCTGGCCATGATGGTATCTCGGCCTTTGTTCTTAAAGAAAACATCCACTCTCTATGTGCTCCTCTTCTGCACATTGTCAATCTTAGCCTGACATCTGGTATATTCCCAAACGAGCTGAAATTGGCCAAGATCATTCCATTGCACAAATCCAATGATTTCACAGACATGAATAACTATCGTCCGATTTCTTTGTTAAGTGTAATCGCTAAGCTATTAGAGAAAATATCTAAAGACCAACTTGTTTTTTACCTCCACCAGTGCAATATATTAAGTGAAAATCAGTATGGTTTCAGGAGTGACAAAAACATATCTGATGCTTTATTCGATATTAATAAATGCATTAACGAGGCAATTTATGGCAACAAACGAAGTATGTTAATATTTTTAGACTTGAAAAAAGCTTTTGACTCAGTGGACAGAAGTCGATTGTTGCGTAAACTTGAGCTTGTAGGGGTGCGCGGCACCTCGCTCGCTTGGTTCAGCAACTACTTCTCTGATAGGCTACAAACTGTCGCACTTGGTGAAGTGTCAAGCGATGTTTTGCCAGTGGAGTATGGTGTGGTCCAGGGTTCGACCCTTGGTCCTGTTTTGTTCCTCCTTTATATTAATAATATTTCTAAAATTCAAACAGAAGGAAAATTAACATTATTTGCTGATGATACTCTAATATTTGTAACCGGATCATCCTGGGAGGAGGTTAAAAACAAGGCAGAATCAGACCTCTGTTTACTAAAAAAATGGCTTGACCAAAATGTATTGTCTCTTAATATATCTAAAACCAAATTCATGCCAATTTCATTACGTAAGATAACCGAATACAAACTTGAAAACCTATCTATTCATGTCTGTGGAAATCATTCCAATAACTCTTGTTCTTGTAGCAAAATTGAAAAAGTTGATTCATACAAATATCTTGGTATTGTTTTTGATTCAAAGATGAAGTGGTCGGAACATGTTGAATATCTAACAAATAAATTACGCAAATATATTTATGCATTTAGGCAACTTAGTGATATACTCGAAGAGCAAGAAATTAAAATAGCATACTATGCATATGTTCAATCTTTGTTATCTTTTGGAATTATTGCTTTTGGTGGTGCTTACAAAACTATCTTGCAACCTGTTTTTGTTGTACAGAAAACAATACTTAAAGTTGCTTTTAAAAAACACTTTAGATATTCAACTGACGACCTTTTTGTAGAAACGGGAGTTTTGACAGTCAGACAGTTATTTTTAAAATTTATTTTAGTTCACATGTACAAAAACTTTGATAATATTTTTATAAAAATTACTCATCCCCACAATACGCGCTTTTCTCGAAATGTTGGTATAAATGTTCCACAAACTTTAAAATCATTTTCACATACGAATTGCTTTCACTTAACCCAAATCATTTATCGTAACATGTGTAACAGATATCAAAATGTCAACATTTTAAATTCACCCTCTCTCTCTCTATTTAAGAAGCATGTAGTAGCGTGGCTTGTAGGATTGAGTGCAGAGGACACCGAGGCCGTTATCGCGTTGGGCGGACCTGACCGTTGACCCTACACAATCACTGATACAACACATTCACTGACTGACCAACACACCACACTCCACCTCTCCTCTCCAATCTTCACCAGATTTTTATAAATTTTCTCAGTTTTGTACAAAGAGTTTTTTATCGTCAATTTAATTCACAGAAGAAAACTAAACATTCAGTTTCAAGCAAGAAAATTTTTTAAAATTTAGAATTATACGAATTATTTTTTGTTTTCCTATACATTTTTCTACCTCCTATCTAAATTAACCTTTTTCGCAACTCGAGTCTACGCACAGGCCCTGCCTATGTAGACTTTTTCCTTTGTTATAGAAGGTATTTTTTTTTGCACATTTTTCGTTTTATTTCTACAGAATATAATTTTTCTTTTGTTATCCAGTTAGTAATGTTTGCTGTATTATATTTAAGTAAAAAAAATACAATGTAATTATATGTATATAATTTATGGGAAATAAAATATTATTTCATTTCATTTCATTTCATGAAGAATGAGGAATGTTAAGTAAGTAAAGTGTATTTCATTACCTTATTTTTGTGGAAAAAAGGCTGTTGAAATGGCGATTTATTTGGCTAATATATATATATATATATATATATATATATATATATATATATATATATATATATATATATGTGTGTGTGTGTGTGTGTGGGTGTGTGTGTGTGTGTGTGTGTGTGTGTGTATGTGTATGTCTTCATTGAAAGTTTTTATGGATGTTTACATAAAACTCGGCAATTGTGCCTAAATACTTGTGACATTATTTGGAGGTTGTCAATGCGGCACCTAGAGGGTTAAATTCATTATACATGATATTCCTTGTAGCAGCGTCCTTAGTACCCACAAAACCTAATGTTATATTAATGTGGAATAAATCTAACATGTTTAAGGGAATGTTTCAGTGGAAATATGATCGGACAATTGGAAATTCGCTTAGTCTGCAGATTTTCTGCAGCAAGAGTGTTTGTCATTACAGTATAAAAAAAGTAAGCTTTATATCACCTGAATAGAAGGTCCTGGTAGTAAGCGATTTACAGCTAAAATTGGCTTCTCATATCCGTCAGCAGCAACACACTGAGGTAGAAAACAGTCAGATGTTACATTGGGGCAGCCCCCACATGCTCTGGGAAAACAAATCAAAAATATCTCACCAAATGCAATGTATGATAAATAACTAAATAAATAAAAATGCCTTTATTTATCAAGCGTTTCTCAATACAACTGCTATTCAGAACAACTTTCGTCAATAACAATAACTAAACTAACAAATAAACAAATAAATAGAACAATAACAAAACAGAAACAATACAATATAAATAAAACAATAATTAACTATCAGCGTACAATTCTTTTATCTTAACTCTAAAGGATGACAAGGCATATTTTTTGAGGCCAGAAGGGAGGTGGTTGTACAGCTTTGGGCCGAAGTACAAGAAGCTTCTCCTTCCAAACTCAAGCCTCACTCTTGGAAAATGAAGCTGGAGACCTCCATGGCTGGTACTGCGCTGAGAGACATCCTCCCGGAAAGAGAGCCTCTCAAGAAGGTACTGTGGCTCCTGTAGGACAAGAGCCTTGTGCACCATGCAGCACGTCATGATCCTACAAACAGTGTCTACCATTGTCATCCCCGCTACAGCTCTGAATGGAGTGATGTGTTCAAATTTTTTGAGGCAAAAAATGTATCGAATAGCAGAATTTTGGAGTTTTTGCATTCGGTTCATGTCTTCCACAGAGATGCTGTTTCCATAAGCAGGGAGACAATATGTAAACACCTACAGGACTAGTGACTGCATGAGGCGCAGCTTCGCAGATTCTGGCAGCAGACTTCTGAACCTGTACAGCCCTCTCAGCCTCCCTAACGCGCGCTGCGAAGCATGTGTGACATGGTCAGAGAAGGTGAGGCTGCTATCAAGCACAACACCAAGAGTCTTTGACTTGTCACACAAAGTCAAAGATTCCCCGTTGAGCACAACACTCACTCCTGTCTTGCTGAGGGACTGCACCAAGTCACGTGGCGCCGTATGCATCACAGTACACTTGCCAGTATTGAGTTTCAACCCATTTGCCTCTGACCACGAAAGGATTTTTTGTAGGTCAGAGTTAATGAAATCAAGTGAAGCTCTCATCTGGGATGGCTCATAGGACAAGTGCAGCTGTGAGTCATCGGCATACAAATGAACTGTACAATGTTGCACACAGCTAGGAAGGTCTGCCGTGTACAAATTGAACAGAACAGGCCCAAGATAGCTGCCTTGGGTAATTTCTTGGGTTTTGACAAGCGGGGTTGATGTTTCACTCTCTAATTGCGTCACCTGCAGCCTGGAGTCTAAGTATGACCTTATCCATTGCAAAATATTTTTGTCAAAGCCATAATATTTTATTTTGGCCAATAGCATCTCATGGTTCATTGAATCAAATGCCTTTGAATAGTCCAGCATTACTAGAGAACTATATTTACCGTTGTCTTTGGCGTTAATCAAATCAATAAATAAGTTTGTCAGGGCTGTACAAGTGGGTAATATATTTTGTGAGTTTGTGTAGCACACTATTTGTCGTATAGCTACCTTCTCTAATATCTTTGACATGGCTGGTAATATTGAGATTGGCCTTAGGTCTTCTACTATTCTTGCAGCTGTAAGTTTCGGTAATGGCCGGATGATACTCATTTTCCAGGACTTAGGAAACTGTCCATTGTCTAGTGATAGATTTATCAGATGGGTAATTGATTTTATGGCATAAGGACTGACAGTTTTGATCATTTCAATTGAAATTTCATCGCTGCCCACTGCTTTTGGTTTGATCTCATTTATTATGTCCATAACTTCTTTTTCATTGATATTTCTAAAATTGAAGGTATTAGTTACACCATCTTGTTTATTATCAATAAAATATTCCCTAAGCTGTTTATCAATTTCGGACTCAGCTCCCATTTTAACAAAATATTCTTTGATCTCATCAGCTTTTAGGTCATGTGGAATGCTCGAGCTACCCTTTGAGCCTATTACATCATTGCTTTTCAGACACGTCCAAAATTCTTTTGGGTCTTTGGAGGATGATAGTTTATCAGAAAAATATGCCTTCTTTGCACTCCAGATCAGATTATTTAACCTATTTCTAACGCTCTTATATATTTCCCAATTTTGAGCACATCTATCTTTCCAATAACGATTTCTCAGTCTATTTTTCTCTTTTGTTCGACGTTTAATATTTTCATTACGCCAAGGAGCCTTTCTCTTTGTAATCTTTTTGCACACTATTGGCGCATTGTCGTCAAATATATTTCTAATGTTTGACGTAATTAAGGTCTCCACAACATCTATTTCCTGTTCAATCATAATACTGTTCCAGTCTATTGCAGAAATCTCAGTTACAACTCGATTAATGTCAAAATTTCTATAATCTCTATATTTGATGAACTTGGCTTCAGGTTTGTTCCTACTTGTTGCCTACTTAGAATGCAATAAATTAACTTATGATCTGTTATATTAATGCCTCTGTGATCTGATATACTCGCAGCATCCATTATGCCGGACCTCTTGACTTCAGTCAACCTGTCCACAACTATGTGGTCTAACAAAGTGGCTGAAGTTGCTGTTACTCTTGTTGGCTCATTTATTAGTTGTACAGCACATGCTTCTTTCAAGAGTCGGCTGTAATATTGAAATTCATTACTTGATTTCGACATGAGATGAACTTTCAAGTCCGCTAAACATATGACATTGCTCACTTCGACTGCAAGATCCACAAACAAAGAGTGAAACAAGGAAGGAACATTTTTTAATAGGTGCCATTTAAAAATGGTGTTACCGTTGAAAGAATAAATAAAGGAAGCAAGGCAAGACTGTCTCACATTGGGCGGTCGGTGCATGGTGAATGTCACATCTCTTGCTTGGCTGCCAAGTAATTGTTTCCAACTCCATGATGCTGACACAGAGAGCTTGGCATGTAAACCAGCCAGTTTTTAAACACTGACTCTTGTAAATGATTTCATATTGATCCTAGAAGAGGAAACTAAATTTCTTGACAACATTCCACAAAATCTTTCAAGAATAAGTTGCAAACTGCACTGTATAAATACCTCTGCTTGTAGTAACCTAAATAATAATCTTACTAATATTATAAGTGTGAAAATTTGTGTGTTTGTTTGTTTGTTTGTTTTAAGTTCAATCACACATTAACTACTGGTCGGATTGGGCTGAAAATTGGTATGGTGATAGCTCATATTCCCGATTGACATATAGACATATTCTTATCTCAAAAATCCTTTCGTACTCCACCACATTGGCTCTGGAGTTTCATATTTAAAAGGAATTAAAGAATTTTGTCAGCTGCTTCAACTACACATTGTTGGTTCTATGATATTTAATAGCATTAAACAGTTATAAGGTTTACCAACAAGGTGCAGCAATATTATTTTTTGCATTATGACAACAGCTAATTTGAACCAACTATCAACAAAAAGCTGTGATATACACTAGGACATTTACTTTTTTCATTGTTTAGGTGCAGTGGTACGTAGAACATTGTGGCTATGGTAGATGTGCTAATAGCATACCGTAAATTAAAATAACCAAATTTTCTTAAGCCATGTCCTCTCCCATTGTAAACGCAAAGCATAAGCATAGCTGCAATAAGCATTTTATAGTATAGATGATTCTTGTATAGATAACATGGTATGGCTGTTTGAAGCTTTTATTCAAGGTGTGAATTTATAGCATCACTAACTGGCCCGACAGACATCGTCCTGTCCTAATGTAGTTTTATGTCAAATGCTCGTTCATTTTCAAGATAAGCTTGTTCGCATCGCTCAATCACGTCCTGGTTGAAGTTTGTTGGCTAAGCTCACTCACCTTTTGGTTGGAAATTAATACATGTTATTGTATCCCACAGTTTAATGAACATTTTCCTCCAATGCTAAAGTAAAGGCATTTTTTTTTATCAAATTTCTAAATAACGGTTGTATGGATTATAAATTTCCTTACATTAAAACCTTCCCCTGGCACTAAGGAACACAACAAAAACAAGAATCACCCAATTCGGTGCACTCCTTCTCGAGTTATGGAATACCATCAAAAAAGGGATTCATTTTTATTTTTATAGATTATATAAATATATAATCAACAAAGTGGCTGAATGCACTTGCTTAGTTTTAGTTGTAAACTGATGTGTGGCAAATGCTTAGTGTATTATAACTGTGGTTGTTAAATTTCTGATTTTAATGGTTTCTGAGGTTGCATGTTACATGTTTCTAAAGATTGCACATAGCAACTATTTTTGCTATTTTGCCTAAGTGGTGCAATCTACCATCCCCAGGCTTTATCTTAACATAGAATTATAATTGTGATGTTCTGCTGATATCCATAATCTTTAAATAGGTAAAAATACTGCAAGAGTACATTAATACAGGACCATTATGTGTAAATACAGCATGGGGAACTCTTTGGTTCACAAACTAGTTGCTGATTGCAAACTTGGGATGAACGAAATGGGTATTTACACCATTTTCAACTATTAATAGTGCAGAGGCTGTTGTTTTACACTACACACCTACCTTCTTTAAGTGATGAAAACTATAAAGATAAAATTAGAAAAAACTAGACTTTTAAAACCACACTTCTATTTTCAACAACTCATATAAAACTATTATGACAACAACAAAACAAAACCAAACCATATGACAAATAAATTAAATTAAAGTTAATATTCATCATATATACAGACTAGGAGATATAACATCCTCCCACCGAGTAGTATTACTACTCAAACATGAACCTTTTTGGAACTTTGATTTTTCGTCCAGCTTGTGAGACGTGCTCCCACCGTGGCGGTTGATAATTCCAACCTTGGAATCGTGGTTTTCTTCAGAGGAGCTACTCTTGATTTTGCCGACAATAATTGGACTCTTACTTCATCTTCAATTTCAACTCTCAAGTAAATAACTGTAGCATAGGCATCTTATACTTGTGTCGCAAAATGTATGAATACTACAACCATTTGAATCCATAGTCATTTTACCTATCCATCGGGGTATTTTCACTTTTCCAAGAGCGCTTAGCTCATTATACCACAGTATGAATAGTTTACTGATGTCTGAACTTACTTCAGTGTCCCAGTCAATTTTCAAGTCCCACATACTTTGCAGAAGAAGTTTAGGAAACAAAGTAACAGGGCAAAGGATACCAATTGGATCAAAGATATTGTGAGATATGGATAAAATGTCTCTCTTTGTGATTCGAGACACGTCCAAATCTTTAATACAGTTCGTGAGGTTAAAAAACAGAACGTCCTCAATATAGTTCCATTGAACTCCCAAAACATTAGTGACGAACTTGGTATCTCCTTCTTCAATGACGCTCGTGGCATGCCATCCTCCTAAATCAAACTTAGCGGCAGCCATAACTTGTTTCGATTCTTCAACAAAGTGTTTTAGTTCCTCATAAGTATCTACACTGGTCGAAACATTGTCCACGTAAAAACTTTTACTCAGCTTCTTTACCACATTATCATCATACTCCTGAGAAGTCATAGATTTTTGAAGATGCAGATCAATTACTGCCCCTAGAAGAAATGGACTACATTTCACTCCAAAAACAACTCTTTTATGGCGGTAAACAATACTTCGGCTTCTTTCATTGATGTCAAACCATAAAAACCGAAGAAAATCTCTATCTTGTACATTTAACGATATCTGTAAGAAGGCTTTTGCTATATCAGCAATAACTCCAAACTTCCCTTCCCTAAAACGCATCATAACAGAAGGAATCAGTTCAATTAAATTTGGTCCATTTTCAATACAGTCGTTCAATGAGGGTGAAAACTTGGTCTTTGCTGATGCATCAAACACTGGACGAATTCGTGTGGTAATACTACTCTCCTTCACTACAGGTCTATGTGGCAGGTAGTGAAAGTTGTTGTTCAAATCGTCAGAAGGTACAGCTTCAATGATGCCATCACTTAACCACTGTTTAAAAACTGAGTCATAGTCTACGGTAAAATTGTTACCATCCAATTTCTTTACAACTGTTGATAACCTCTTTTCGGCTAACTCTCTGTTACTAGGCAAAGGAGGATGACAATCAACCCAGGGCAAACTTACTTCATATCGACCTTCTTCATTTATAGTGGTAGTTTTTATAAAATGATTTTTAACTGCCAAAGCCTTTTGCTCTTTGGAAACTGATTCACTTGTATCAGTAATGCCTATAGTGTCTAATCTCCACAGTTCCGATATGTCAGCATCATTAATAAACATTGATGTTACAACAGTGGAGAGTGTAGTTGAACCTGTACTACCACTAATTATAGCCTTACCCATCAGTGTCCATCCCAGAAGAGTTTCCATAGCCACTAGTCCAGATTTCAGTTGAATCATATTTCCCGTGAATAGTTTACCCGCTATATCCGCTCCAATCAAAATACCAATTGGTAGCTTGGTCTCATGTATGTCAGTCAGAGAAACATTTTTCTCTATAAGTTCCTGTATCCAGGCACCTTCGGTAGGTAACTGGTGGAATTTCCCCACATATGGTAGTTTGACTCAATACCTCAAAGTTGCAGTTGTAACTGTAATCTTGACTGGTTAGAAACACACGATGTCTGTTATGAATTACTTCACCAGATTTGACATTACCAAAAAGAGAGTGTATGATTGTTTCTTCTCCTAAGCTTTCGTAATTCATTTTTTCAGCCAAGTCCTTTAAAATGTAAGAACGCTGTGAACCAGAATCAAAAAGAATGCGAACAGTCTCAAATTGATTACTACCTGGGGTTCTTAATCTTGCCTTTACTGTTTGCAGAAACACTTTCACTCTGCTACTTGATTTATTGGCCAAAGCGGTATCTTCCACTACTGTCATTTCTTTAGATACCTTATCAACACATTTGCTTACACACTCATTCACTACTTCTTTGGAATGAATACTAGGACACATTATAGGATAATGTTTCCTTTTACAATTAGAACATGACAAATGAGTTCTACAATCCTTAATACGGTGACCAGGCTGCAAGCAAAGGAAACAGCACCTCTTTTCCTTTAAAGTGGACACCTTATCAGACAATGGCAATTTCTGAGCAGCAAAACAGTTACTACTCTTATGATTCTTATCACAAAAGACACACTTTGTATAAGAGTTTTGAGTTTTACCAGAGGATATGAGGCATGAAGCTGTTGGTATGTCTATCTTACCTGATTGAGTTTGAGATGGCCTTTTAAAAGATTTCTCCTTCCCAGAGCTACTTATCCCAAAACCTGCCATGGCTAGACCGATTCTCTGTTCCCCTTCAACTTCAGACAGCATAAACTTCATTAAATTGTTGAGTCTTTCCTGAGGGTCTGTTCCTACTTTCAAAGGGCTTCTTTGCCAGGCCCTTAAGAGATCTTCAGGCATACAACTTTCAACTAACGGGTATAACATGGAGGAACATTTATCTGTTGTAACTCCCAAGGTATCTAATGCACGCATATGAGACTCAAGTTTGTCATATAAACTTTGTAAGTTCATTGTGTTTTTGCCTCCTAGAGCATTTTGTAAAACAATTTTTAAGAGTTCCCTGACATAAACCTCTACCAATAGGTCATCTTTACCAAATCTGGCTTTCAAACATTCAATTGCTTTTGGATAGTTTGCACCAGTCGGAGGAAAACTCTGAACTACATCAAAAGCTCTTGATCCGGTAACTATGGATTGCAATAAATATTGAAACTTATCCTCTGAATCAATGTCTGAGTCACTATGAATTTTGCTAAACTGACTCCAGAAAGGTAGCCAATTGATCAATTCTCCATCAAACTTTTTGATCTCTATTTTAGGGAGCTTAAATTTCTTCTTACTAGCATTGTTACAGCAAGATCCAGAATGAGCACTAACTACATCGTTACTTTGTTGTAGTAAATTCTGGACTCTTAATTTTACAGCTTCAAACAAAGCTAAATATTCTCCAGCTTTGATTGTTTCAGCTAACAGCTCATCTTCAGAAACATTATCATTATTCAATAACAAATCAAAGATCTGAGAATTCAAAACCTGGAGTTCATCAACCTTTATCTCCAAAAGCTTTAGAGTGGTTTGAATTTCAATTTTGTCTGTGGTTTCATTTTCAACTAAACTGTTTAGTTTGCTCAATGTTTTAGAAAAATAAGCCCTATATACTGTTCTATTTTTCTTTAGATTTTCCATCATAGAGATAGGTGAAAAAACAAGTCCTGTCACGGTCGCCAAATGTTGTTTTACACTACACACCTACCTTCTTTAAGTGATGAAAACTATAAAGATAAAATTAGAAAAAACTAGACTTTTAAAACCACACTTCTATTTTCAACAACTCATATAAAACTATTATGACAACAACAAAACAAAACCAAACCATATGACAAATAAATTAAACCAAAGTTAATATTCATCATATATACAGACTAGGAGATATAACAGAGGCTATAATTAATATCTTTAATGTTGAATTTTTACTGATATTTTGAACACATGTGACGCATAACTTAGCGGCACGCTATATTTTATATAGTGTGTGCATTTCGCGAATACGGGCCCAACTCGTTGCCTGCCGCGATTGCATCAACGTCTCTCCCCACCTCCCCACCTACGTCGACTCCTCTCCTCCTTCTTGCTCAACTATCTGTCGTCGAGGAAAGAAGGAGAATTTCCAGGCCTTCTCTGTCATCTTATGGATAAGTCATTTAGTATAATTATGTAGGACTATAAGTACAAATTATGTGCGGGGAGCCCTTCTGGCTCGCCCGACAATTGAAATGTAGGAAATTAGAACCTAGCTGGGTTGACTGCCTTCTGCAGCCAACCTTCTCAAACCTGAAAACTCAATCACATGTTCCCAGAATGTAACTTAATAGTTATCAATCAAATTCATACATATTTCCCATTCAGTATTCAACTTACATATTATTTCATTCACTCATCAATATTAGTAAGTAATTGTCCATGTTCAGTTCATAGTTGGAAGGATAGGTCTACAGTTAAATAGTTAGTTAAATTAGTGTAACAGCTGCCTAGACAGGTATTGTGATCTGGGTAAAAATCTCCGCCCCTCTGGTCCCCAGCAATGTTCCTAATTTTATTGGTAGCAGTTTCAGCACACTTAAACTAAGTTTGGTCCAGACACAGCTTTTCCTAACCTATTAGCATTACCCTGTTTATTCCCTCCTGATTCCCCAAATTCCCACCAATATCCCACCATCATATCATATCATCACCATTTTAACCTAACCTCCCCCCCCCCACATCACTTCATCATTCAATGCCCCCCGGCTACACACAAAACACCTCGACCTAATCCTGGGATTCTATGCTCACAATTAGTTTTTATTTGCATAGTAAAAAAGCTATGCTGGAGCTTGGTAAAATTTAATCACCTGTTCAAAGTATTGTAGGGTTCAATCATCCAGACGTAGTAGCAAAGTCTGGGATCATTGGGTTGGCATTCTCTGGTACAAAGCCAGCCATCATCAAACCTCATGTCATCGTACTTCCCTGACATGATGTCGTCTGGTTGTGTCTTAACGTCTCCCGACATCATCTTCTTTTGATTTGACCGTGTTGCTGTAATAAAAGATGCATAGGTACAAAGATACATAGATATTGAATGAATTCTATGATTGCATCTTGTTCTGATTAAGATTAGTCAAAATTTGATCACACAAGCATACTTCTAATTTTATGCAATTTCCTTATCATTAGATACAGCACCGAAAACTGGGGTTGTTTTGTTGTTTAATTTATGATAATTACTTGTAAAGGATAAGGTAAAATTTATTAAATCAACAACAAATCACTACACATAGTAGTAGGGGTTTGTTCCTATTATTTGCTCAATGATCAAAAATGTGAAAGTTTGTTTGTTTGAAGTTCAATCATGCATTACAATTGCGACCTGATGCCAGGTAATATAAAACCAATATTAGTCATTATTACAGTTACGGAATTACTACAATGAATTTAAAGATATAGACAATAGACATATTCTTATCTCAAAAATCCTTTCGGGCTCTGCCCCAGTGGCTCTGGAGTTTCTCATGTTAACCTTATGAGTATCTATATATTTAATTCCGTAAGCAAATCGTTCCCGACAAAATATTTCGAGCTAGGAAAAAGGTAACATTGATGTTGAGGATTAATTTTAAAGCTTAAGGTCCAAGTACGGTGGGTAAAATATCAGAACTGTCAAAAATTACCCCAACTCTGCCCCACAGACCACCAAAGATCCAGTCATTTTCTAATGGAAGTACTGTTACAGTGTTTCTATAAGCTATTTCAAATATACCAGCTGATGTAAACATATATTTTGTTTATTGATTTTAGTGTTCTATGTTTGACTATTAACACTATTACCGAATAAAACTGACGCTAACCAAAACCCTCGGTCTGTGAGACCCCATTTGAAAATAATGGACCCCACTTAGAAACACACAAACCGAAACCCTGGGCCTGTGAGACCACCCTTTAAAATACACTAACGCTGGGCTTCTTAGAGCGGTATGTTATGAACAACCTGTCAAGGTCAGGGCACCCACGCAAAATGATCAAACATTATAGGTAGGGGAGAAAAAGGGGGGAAGGTATTGGGGGAATGGAATCCCCCAAGTAAACAGTGTTGCCAACATACGTTTGGGAAAATTCCCGTGGGCCTGTCAGACCAGGGTTTCTGTAAAAGTGTTAAAAAAACTTCAGTATCCAAATGTCGATGGTTCTATTTTTAACCAACTTCCCCACTACCAACAAAAGGAGGAGGTTCTCAATTTGTCTGTGGCGATGTTTTTTTTTCTATGTATGTTCACCAATTTCTCTGTGATTCTTTTACCGATCAGCGTGGTTCCACCACCAAAATAACCAGGAGAGTTTCTATTATTTGGTACCATATATAGCATTATGTTTAAGAAAAATATTTGTTTGGTGAAAAATGCTGAAAACCTCAAATAATCAACATTTATTTTGTTTATATTGTTGCAGAGAAGGCAATAAATAATAATAACATTCCTACAGCTGTTAGTTTTTTTTTTTTTAAGTATTTATTCACAATCTATTCTATTCTAGAATAATAAGTAAATTTGATAACCATTTTAACATGGGTTAGTTACACTCCATCAAGTGCACTAACATACAAAAACTTTTAAAAAGTTCAACTAAAAACGATTTGGAAGGTCTATTGGATTAACTCTTTTGAGCCTATATGTAGCTTCACTATTGTCGAGGAGGTTAACTGCCAGGAAATTTGGATGGGTTTCTAATTTTCTTTGGTATTTTTCACTTCGTTTCTTTATTTCTTCTTTAACATAGGGTAATTTTGTATCTTGATGAATTACTTTATTTGTGACAAACCAAGGTGCTTGTAAAATTTTTCTCAGTGTTTTCGATTGAAACCTTTGAACTATTTCTATGTTTGAGTTGGAAGTGGTTCCCCAGAGTTGGATACCGTAGGTCCAAATAGGTTTCAATATAATTTTGTATAAAAGTAATTTATTTTCAACAGATAATTTTGAATTTCGACCAATGAGCCAATTTAGTTTGTTTGTTTTTAAATTTAAATGAAGTCGTTTGTTCCAAATGTGTGAATGCCATGTAAGCCGTCTGTCGAGATGCATACCAAGGTACTTAACTTCGTTGGATTGTGGAAGCATGACATTATTTAATGTTACTGGGGGACAAGTTCTTGTAGACATAGTAAATGTAACTTGAACAGATTTTGTTTCATTTACTTTAATTTTCCAATTCTGTAGCCACTGAGACAAATCGTCTAATGCAGCCTGAAGGTTTGATGATGCCAGAATAGGATCCTGATTTGATGATAAAAAAGCAGTGTCGTCTGCAAATGTTGCAACCGTAATACCCTGAGTACTTGGAAGGTCATAAGTGAACAAAATATACAAAATAGGCCCAAGAACACTGCCTTGTGGTACACCTGATTCAATTTCATGCACATCTGTAACTATATCTTGATATTTAATTTGAAAAAAGCGTTCGGACAAATACGATTTCAACACTCCATAGTATGTATGGGGCAGCAAAGTTTTAATTTTGAACAATAATCCTGTGTGCCAGACTTTATCAAACGCCTGGGCTACGTCCAAAAAAGCAGATGAACAAAAACGTTTATTTTCAAGATCTTCCTTGATTACATTAACTATTCTATGCACTTGCTCAATGGTGGAATGCCTTCGGCGGAATCCAAACTGATGGGAAGGCAACAATTCTTTTTCGTCAATTATAATTTGAAGTCTTTTTAAGAAAAGTTTTTCAAAAACTTTAGAAACCACAGGAAGAAGAGATATAGGCCGATACGAGGATGCTTGATTTAAAGGTTTACCAGGTTTCGGAATAACAACAATTTGTGAAACCTTCCACTGTATTGGGAAGTATTCAAGGCGTAAAACTGCATTGAAAAGTACTGTGAGGAAAACTATTCCTTTTCTAGGAAGCTCTTTCAACACTTTACCTGTTATCAGATCATAACCGGGGGCTTTTTTGCCGTTTAAATCGTCTTTTATTACTTTAGCTACTTCAGATGGTGTGAACAATTTTATTGGTAAATCAAGTTGATTTGGAGAATCGAGGAATTGCAAAATTTCTTGCTCAACATTTGAATTAATATTATATGGCTTGAACACTTCCTTGAAGTATGAAGCAAATACATCTGCTTTCTCGATGTTGTTTTTGGCCCAAGAACCGTCTTCTTTTAGAATAGGTGGAATGCAAATTTGTGGACGTTTTAAGTTTTTTGTAACTTTCCAAAGGGAGTAGTCACTAGCTTCAGATGGAGAAAGGTTTGAAGTGAAATCTTGAAATCTGTCATTGTTTAATTTAAACAGTAACCTTTTTAGTTGTTGAGTGGCCCTGTTTAGATTTCTTTTATCCGTCTGGTCTCTAGAGTTTTGCCATATTCTACGGAGTCGGCGTTTTTCGGCAATTTTCCTATTAATTTCAATTGGATAGTGTATTCCTGATTTTAAATTATGTTTATTCTGGTCTGGAGTTGCTCTCCAAGCGGAGTCTTGAACTGTTTTGTTGAAATGTTCAACAGCAAGATTCAAATCTTCTTCGCTCTTCAAACACACAGAAATCTTTAAATAGTTAAAACCATTTAAATGAAGCTACAGACAGTTTCTTCATGAAACAGTTGCTTCATATTGATTAATTTCTTGCCATGGAGCCTAAATAAGTTACATTGGGAAAATGCACTTTGTTTTGGTTACTATAAAAAAGGTATTTCAACGTTTGACCTGATTTGTGTATGATTCTGTTTTGAGTATTGAATGTTCTGACTTATAAAAACATAGTGAATAGCTGTATGATATTGACCGTTTAAGGTGTATTGTGAAAACCAAAGTATTCGTAAAAGAGGTCCAAATATAAATTAGATGCAATTATTCCTTAAACGACATAAGAGGTGTGAGATTGCATAATCGTCAATCGTCTTAAAAGTGTTAAATATTTTAATTACCAAACATGCATTTGAAGATGTGAAATGTTTATTAATATTCTTCACTGTCAATAATATTATGCCTGCTTCGGAAATGGGAAGCTGATTTGCAATTTCGACAACATCTTGAGCAAAAAAAACCACCTACCCCTTACACCACTTTTAGCTGAACCAATCTTTCATATTCATATTTTTCAAAGGTAATATAGGCCTACGTTATAACAACCAATTTTCTACTTTTAAGAGATTTTTTAGTGCTGGTGGCTGAGGAATAACTTTCTTATTGTTCCAAAAGGCATGAGACCTTACTGTATTTCGTTTTATAATGTAGAAGTACACTAATTGCAGGAAACGATGATGTCTGGCATTTCAATGTCTAAGGAAAGACATTTAGTTTTTCATTAGGCCTAATGTAATGGACAACTCTTTGTTTTTTTAAGGAATATCCAAAAATGTTAATTTTTATACCCATTGATTATGTAACCTGAACAGGTGACTCAAGCAGTTTAAAAATAATGATTGTTCTGTGGCACTTTTGATTGTTTCAAACAGTTTTGCTTATCAAAAAACTTCAAGTAATTAATATATAACAAATTATACAGTTACTAAAAATCATTAAATAATTTTTTTTTAATACAACCGACTATGCTCTAAAAAGAATGAAATAATTTCAATAAAGTAAACTTTTGTATTAGTCAAGCTCACGTATTTCAAGTCGATTCTAACTGCAAAAATATGAATAAAATAAATTATATTGAGAGTGTATTTTGAAAATCAATAAATTGTAGCTGGATAACATAAATATATAAAAAAAACATACTGAACTGTTTTGTTTCTATATATCAAAGGAAGTATCGTATTTTCTTGTATTTTATATTTACTTCAGAATGATTGCATAATGAAAATAACACACACAAATGTTCTATATGAATAGGAAAATAATTTATTTTGATATTATGATAGGGAAAAGAAGCTAGTTTAAAACTAAAACGTTACTTTTCCAAGTTAGAAATATGTAAGTACATTATAATCTTTTTAAAGATACTCGTTAATACCACTGTAAGATTATAATCACCTTTAGTTATATATAGTCACCTGCAATGTGGACATCCTCTTTAAATTTTTT